CAAGGATAGAGTCACAGCACGTAGCAAGTTACGGCCCTACTTAACCAGGACACACGCACTCCCTTTCCTGGGCAAGTGGCCCAGGCTCTGGAATAGGGATGAAACGGCCCAGGTTCTGGAACACTCACCAGGACTACATTCACAGCTGAGGCTACTCACCAACCAGGATGTTTTTTCATGTATCAAATCCTTCCTTCTCAGCCTATTGTTCCAGGCAGTCACTATCAGTCAGTTGGGTTGGCAACCAAAATAAAACCTGATCATCGTCATTATCCTAAAAGCCCCCATCAAGCATTTTCTGAATCAATCTGGACTGCTAACAGCAGAATATTATCTTTTTTTTTTTTGAGACGGAGTTTCACTCTTGTTACCCAGGCTGGAGTGCAATGGTGCGATCTCGGTTCACCGCAACCTCCGCCTCCTGGGTTCTGGCAATTCTCCTGCCTCAGCCTCCTGAGTAGCTGGAATTACAGGCACGTGCCACCATGTCCAGCTAACTTTTTGTATTTCTTTAGTAGAGACGGGGTTTCACCATGTTGATCAGGACGGTCTCAATCTCTTGACCTCGTGATCCACCTGCCTCGGCCTCCCAAAATGCTGGGATTACAGGAGTGAGCCACCGCGCCCGGCCAGAATATTATCCTTAATCAAGAAATACATAACGCCATGAAAAAAGCAGCAGATAAAATGGACAACTACTATAAACAAGGGTAAAGAGCCTAAGACTCAGCATTAAACCCAGTTGGAAGCCCGGCTCTTCCACTCAGTACTTGTGTGGCCCTAGGCTAGTTACATAACGTCTTTGAGAGTCAACGCACTCACCTCAGAAAGATGTTGTGAGTATATGCCAAACACTTACATTACAGCCTCTGCTATTATCTGGCATAAAATCACGTAATTTATTTCTAAAAGGGGCCTTAGGATGATTCTACAAGGAAAATGGGAAGTAATGGAGTGCCTTCTGTGTACCAGAAGTCTCATTCACTGATTACTCACAGCAGCCTTATTAGCCCCACTTGTAGATTGGAAATTAAGGTTCGGAAAAATGAAATGATTGTTCAGGGTGCCAAAGAACAGACAACTATTCGAGCAGGAGTCTTTCTGCACCCAAAATAACACTGTTTTGCTGCATCACATGACTGCATGCACAGGTGAGCTCAGTCCTAAAGAAAAGCTCCAGTCTCCATACTCTACAAGAAGAAATTTCAGAGTAACCAACAGCAAACTCGATGCCAACAATGAGTACCTGAATAACCGCAAAGTCACTCTGAGCTTTAAACCAAAACGCCGACCCTAGTCAACATGTAAGAAACAATACCAGGAATCATCCTGTCAATTTCTTTCTGAAAATGATCCTTCCCTATGCGCATGTGTACTGCAGCAGCAGTACCAAAGGGGACACCACGAAAGAACATTCTCTTACAATGACAAGGACCAAGAAAAATCACCTGAAAGGTGAGATAATTAACCATGGTCTTAAGACTCAGGCTGTCTCACCTTTCAAAAGGCCCAGCTTAACAAAATCCAAAGATAAATTATTTATCAATAATGAACTATGGAAAATATAGAAAACTCCATTTGATTCACAATTGTCTCACAGACATGAGTACAGTCACAGAAACCTAATTAGGCGGTAAGATACCTCCAACTTGTCTATCACAGTAAGAATGGCAAGAAACTTCTGCTTGCATCAACATGTGAACAACCCCGTGGACACGTTTTAACTGTGGTCATCCACCAGAGCACAGATCTTGAATGGCACTATGCATAGGTCGCTATCCTGTCTAGAGACCTGAAGAATTAGGAGGCTACTGAATGCAAAGAATAATTTAATTAAAGACGTTAGATTTAGTTACACTAGCTAAATTAGAAAAAAGTAAAGGAGATAATTTAGGTTAGGTTAGGATATAGTTTAGGTTAGAAAAAATGGGAAACCTGAACCAACAATAAAATGCTTCTATTAAATAAGTAATCATAAACTAAAATGCATAAAGTAATATTCCATATAGGTACTATGTACAAGTGAACCCTTGCCAAATGCTAAGCTCCTATCAGCCAAGGCCTGCTCATAGCCTAGGCTCATTTGGATTTTCCCAGGCAGAACACATCCCTGAGCACTAAAATCACAGCCCCTAGACACAGAGAATGCCTTAGCACCAGCCAGAAACAGAAACAAAAGCCAAAATAAATGTTTTTCCTTTTTGCATTGTCTGAAACAAGCCCAATTTGCAATTAATTATCCCATCAGGAATACGTTCTAAAATAGTCCTCACCCACAAAAAAAAAAAAAAAAAAAAAACAAGGCTAACAGGCAAATACTATTTGTTCTGGTTCAGAGAAATAAGACAAGAGATCTTCCCTGCTAGGTCCAAAGTGTCCATGTGATATTGGAGGATCCTGTCTGAGAACACTAAGATACAAACATGTGGACTGGTTAACTTAATCCATAAGAGGGAAAAGATAAAGAGCGGTTCCAAAGTACCGGTTTGTCGGATAGCTGTTTTCATTAAAAATTCTCTTGTTTTTCCTATTTATTTTAAGATTAACATGATTTTGGAATTAGGTCTGACATAAAAATAAATATTTTCCATTGGAGAAAGAGTAAAAATTCATGTAGATAAAATTCTTTTAAAGGAAAGCTGTTTGCGAGTGTAAAAGCTGCTCTTTGACGGTAGAAATCGGACCCTTCACTTCCCACCCTGCCAGTGCGGAGCACATGCAGCCCTCAACATCGGCCACGGTAACAACAGCACCAGTTCTGGCTGCTATGGGAAAAGACCTAATTCCCAACAATGGCCGATGTCTCATCTTAAGTTTATAATGCAAGTAAAAGAATCAGACACTGAATAACATGGTACACTTAAAAACAAGGTCAAAAGCAAAAGGGCCACTGAAGAAAAACTAATGAGTGCTTGAGTTCTAACCTAAAGGTATCAAATTCATATAATATGAAAACAATTTGATGGAATGCAATTCTTCTCGACTTTTCTAATTACAACAAATAGAGAAAATAGATCCAGAGAAAACAACTATGCATCCTACTGGATATTCTATATAAGGAACTTCTAATTAAGCATTTTATAAAAATTTTCTATAGCACATGAAAAAGTCATCGTTTTGTTCTACAAACCTAGAAATAAAAGCACTAAATCTCAGCTAATTAACCAACAAAATGAGTCATTCTTAATCAAGCACAAGCAAGGAGACAAAGTAACACGTGCTTCTTCATATGCTCACATGTCCTACTGAAACGGACTAAAAGAGAGGGGTCATTTTATTTTTTTACTGTATATATGTTTTGTATCATTGTGGTGGGGGGGAACGGAGTCTTGCTCTGTCACCAGGCTGGTGTGCAGTGGCGCAATACTGGCTCACTGAAACCTCTGCCTCCTGGTTTCAAGCGATTCTCCTGCCTCAGCCTCCAAAGTAGCTGGGACTACTGGCATGTGCCACCACACCCAGATAATTTTTGTATTTTTTATAGAGACAGGGTTTCACCATGTTGGCCAGGCTAACCTCAATCTTCTGACCTCATGATTCATCCATCTCAGCCTCCCAAAGTGCTGGAATTACAGGCATAAGCCACTCTGCCTGGCCTACTTCTGTATCTTTTAAAGCAATCATTGCTAGCTCATTTACTCTAGAAGCCCATGTTTAAAACCTTCCTACTTTCTTCCTCAATTTATAATACAAACTGCATACAATGAGTAGCACTGTTACCAGCGCACAGCAATAACAGAGACCACAGTATCTGCTATAGAATTCATTTTCGTGAAAACAACAGATGAGAGCTACTTACCACACCTAAGTAAAACTAGATGGCAGGATAAAGAGACCACTTCTTGTGGAAGAATCTTTTGCAATGGAAATCTACCTGCAGTGACTGCTTTCATTTTAGAACAACTGCAGTGGAAAACTGCACTGTCTGTGTCTGACTGAAAACGATCTGATACAGCACTGATGAAAAGGAACAGAAAGAAATGAGGCAGGCTCCACTTCTGAAGGCATGTGGGGAGAGCACACAGGACTGCAACTCCGAATTCTGTGATGCCTTTTTTTAAAAAAGTGGGGCAAACTAAAAACGGAGTACAGGTTGTAGTACAGCAGTCTGGGACAAAGCTGACTAGAAGTAGACAAACAGACACATACCTGCATCGTCTACCATCTGACTGCCCACAGCTGCTCACTGAATCTAAAGCTATACACAACAAATGATTTGTGTAAAGGAAAATTTCTTTCTTTCTCTCTCTTTTTTTTTTTAAAAGATGGGGTTTCACCATGTTAGTCAGGCTGGTCTTGAACTCCCAACCTCAGGTGATCCGCCCGTCTTGGCCTCCAAAGTGCTTGGATTACAGGCGTGAGCCTCCACACCGGGCCAGGAAAATTTATTTCTGAAACAAATGTAATGATTTTATCACCGATCATCTGCATGTAAGAAGCTAAAACTGAGTAATACCTAATTTAGGGATTGTCACACTGGCCTTTCATTACCACTCAAAGAGAAAACCAAAACGTGCTGCGTGACAACATTCCGCTCGGACGGACGACACCTGCAAAGGCGGCCCCATTCCGCTCAGACGGACGACACCTGCAAAGGCGGCCCCAGTGACGCTGCGTTTTTACTCTACCTTCCCTACGTTAAATACATTTCTATACACAACACTCCCACTGTGTGACGGGCCTTAGGATTCAGTAACACACTGCACAGGCTGTGGAGGGAGCAACAGGCTGTACCACCTGTGTAAGCACATACATTCTAGGATGTGCAGGCAACGACATCGCCTAACACAGTTCTCAGAACCTATGCCTGTCGTCAAGCGATGCAGGACTGTCGTATTTAAATGACAATTCTTATACCAACTTCAAGTGGGTAGAGGTTGGTTATAAGACTCTAACAAGAGGTCACTTTTCATTCATTCTTCAAAAACACTCTCTGGAAATAAGGACATTCTATGTGAAACGCAGACTCAAAGAGGCTCTCATAAAACTAGTCAACTTACCCCACCTGACAGCTTAATCACCCTGACTTTGGAGGTGATGTGGGACCCATCTCCACCACCACTGTTTGTCCTGTGCGTGACAGTCCTTTTCACGCCAGGCTTTGTGTCCTGGGGCCGGCCCTGGATGGACGCCACTCGAGGAGTCTGGGGGGCGGCTGGCTCCTCCACATCCACGGGTTTGATCTGAAGTACTTTATGCAGTGGCTGAGTCTGACTTTGAGGAAGTGTTCTGGTCTGTCTCAAATGTTTCAGTGGTTTCATCTGTTGTCCTTGATACTGCATGCTGGCACCAGATGGTACAAAATTTGATGTTTTCGGCTGAACATTTGAAATACTGACATCCTGGCTTTTAACAAGAAGTCTATTTTTCACATTTTGTCTGACCTGTGCACCCGGAAAGGGTAACAGGGGGTTCCCATTGGCGGGTGACGGTGTCGGCGCCTGCTCTTCCTGCTCTGCTGGGGGTGGGGGAGCACAGAGCTGCTGCTGCTGCTGCGCGAGTCTCTCCAGCAGCTCCTTCTTCCTGGCACCAGCCTGCTGCTGCCGTCGTAACTCCTTCTGCTTCAGAATTTCTTCTCTCAGGCGTTTCTGTTCTTCTATCTTTAAGCGATATAACCTTGTTTCCTCATCTTCATCAGGAAACTAAAACGGAAAACACACACAGTTTACTTTGCTATACAGGCAAAGTGTCCATTCCAGTCTATTACAACGAACTAAGAGAACGCATTTCCCGAAAGTCCTTTAATTCAGTGTCTGAAAGAAGTCATTCAAAATCTGTTTAAAGACTTTACCTCCTTCCTCTGGGGAGGGGAAAAAAAATCACATAGCTAAAGCTAATTTGGAAAATCTTATCAGAATATTAAAAATGAAATCATGTAAATTTCCACTCATTTACAAGTTTGAAACCAATTAAACTATTCAAGATATCAAAATATGTTTCAAACAGGAATGGCAGCAGTGGGGAGGCCTGCTGTCACACAGGTTTTATCTGGCTTTTCCCTGACAAACCAACAAAAGGTGGGGTATAAATGACCTGAAAGGCCCTGATTAGAACTATTGATTTTTCGTACAGAATTTTCAGCCCGATCTCAAACTCATTTGTCACAGAATAATTGCTTATAATGAACAGCACAAGTCAATCTCTCTGACCTTGAACTCATGCACTCTCCTCAGAATCAAAATGTTGCCGACTGCAGTATTGGAATATTAATGGTATATAAGGAACGCCTTTAATATTCCAAGCTCCAAACCATTCTGCAAGTCGCTACAAAAAAATCTTGGAAAAAGTCCAGTAACTTTCATAAAAAACATCCAATAAGGAAAATGTATAAAAAGTTAAGCATCTTTAAAGAATTATAATAATTTTCTTTTAAAATCATGCATATCCACAGACTCTGTATAAAAGAATGCAACAGGATTTAATCTATCTAGAATTAAGCTATTTCATCATCTTACTTTCCCTGAATAAACCTTAAGAATTAGGACCTTAAGACAAAAGCGCAGCTGAGGAGTCAGCTGGTGCCCTGGAGCTGGAGTGCCTGGTGCCAGCCCTCACCTGGGGGTTATTTGTCGGCTTGGAAGCAATTCTGACCAACTCGGTTCTCTTAATTTCACATCTAGGACAGATTTCAAACTGCAAAAATGAAGGTGGATTTATACAGGCAGTTTATAAATGAGGCTGTTTATACAGGCAGGCATACAGAGCAAGAAGTGAGATCAGGGGAGACAGAAAGACTATTAGCAGTGGACAGAAGGGACATTGGCATCGGGGGAGGACATGGCTGGGGACATATTAACAGGACCCAAAGGGCCACTGCTTCAGAACACAGGAATAATGACTAGTCACCAGAATTTCTTCCCATGCAGTCAAGAAAGAGTTAAGGCATGTCCAGAAGAGCAACTGAAATACCTGGAAAGACTTCTGACTAAGCAGATTCACCGTTTATTATATCATTATTAAGGGAGTGAATATAAGAAAATAAGTCACATTTAGCTAAGCAAACAAATAGAAGACCTTTCTTTTAAAAAAGTAATATATATATATATCTTTTAAAAGTAAAAATATATGTATAATCCTGGTCCCCTTTAAATGTACATACATAAAATTTAAAAAAAATAAGTCAAGACTTTCCATTTCTACTACAGTGGACTACAGGTTCCATTTCAGTCGAGGCATCTTTTTGAAATAACTCTATCGAAGAATCTTTCAGAAGTTCACGTAAATCAACTATCATGGAAGAAGCTGACTCCCAGATGTGCCCGCACGATGCCTGAAAGGGCACCTCCCCTATTAGGTAGCCCTTTTTCCTATTATTATAGTTTCTTATTATATAAGAAATGAGTATATGACCTCATTTTTCAGAACCAAATCAGTTACACATACTGAGTTAGAAGCTGGCTATATACATTAGAAGCATGATAAAATTTTTACCAAAGACTTCTTTAGAAACTATTCGGATCCAGTTTGTCAATCCACACTTTTTTACATACTGACTTTAAAACCAAAAGTCACTTGTGTTCTAATAAGAGTTCACTGTATATCAGTATTTCAACCTTGTACTTCCAATCTGGTAAACAATACATTACAACTGCTACAATAATGTATCAGAAGAAAATCTGACAGAAAAAAATTGATTGAAAGACAAAACCAGTGTTAACTGGTTTTTATGAAACTAAGTTTTTATGACTCACCTGAAGTAACTGTTCACAACACTGGTCTTGCAAAAGGTACCCCGCCGCACTACTTCAGTGCGCTGCACACACATGTCACCGGGGCTGACACTACCTCCATGCCAGCCTCCTGCACGTGCCACCTTGGCCTACCCTCCTGGACCAGATGATGAAACTCAGGCTTGCAGAAGAAGACAGCCTCAACTAAAGCCACGTAAAACAGTGACCTGCATGTGTTATCTACACTTACTACGTTCTGTGCCTACCTAATAATCAGCAACAATATCAACAACATATATAATTATATTTCAAAACCAAGCAAACCCCCAGAAATCTTGAAGACCAACAAAAAACTGGTCCTATCTTCTACAGGTTAATAGTGTAAAACAAGAAACAGTCACAGAAACCTAATGGTATTCACCAGGTGCAGCAAGATTTTGTAATAACTTACTAAGTAAGAGCAAACTAAGACATACAAGTTGATTATAAGGCTTCTTGTTTAATAAGTGTCCTACCTCTGGTTCTGTTTTTGCCTCTTCTTTAGGTTGAGCCACGGGGCTAGCGGGCTTGACTTTCACTTCCGTCTTTCCCTGTAAGCTCCTGGAAGCCAACACGGCCCTGGAGGGTGGTGATGAGCTGACGACAGGTTTCACTTGCGCTGAGGGTGTGGCGGAGCAGCGGCTGCTGCTCATTTCCATTACGTGTGACGGCGCTATGGGGAGTTCCCGCAAATTGCTGTTTCTCGGTGCAGTGGGCTGCATCTGCTGCATGGGCCGCTTGCTTACATTCTGAGAAGTTGTATTCTTTCCACAAAAAGAAAGAAGTTCTAATTATAAGTGGAAACTTGGCAGAAGGAACATTAAAAGGCACATTATTAAATACAAATGCAACGAATTACTCTCATTAGTAAATGACTTCTCTTTTGGGGAACTGGTCTTTTCACCTTGGTTAGCACTTTTTTCCTCAGGCATCCATGTTACCTGATGCACGTGCAGCACACCCTCAGCGTAATGGTAACGACCTCCACTGGGAAAGGTGTCATACCTGCCTACAGACAGGCTCCTCTTCACAGAAATTACCAGGCTAATCTTTAGCAGGTGCTTCAGTAAAGGGACTGACAGTTTTAAAAGAATTGAGACAGCCAAAAAAAGCACTCTATCTGCTACCAGGGCTCAACAGGATTCATACGCTACTATTTTACTTAGTCACTTAAATTGAAGGTGGAACCAGAAAAGAATCATCGGGTCAATGTCTAAGAAACATTGACCCCTGGGAGAAGAAATGTCCCAGAATGTTTTACTTGAGAGGAAATGCTGAGTCGTGTTCATCCTGGGGATTCTTAAGAGAAAGCCAACACCTGGAGGAGACAAAGAGAACGCGAGAGCTGGGAAGGGGGATGAGATCTCTGAGGTCACGCAGGTCAAATATCCCAGTGCACAAGGGTCATGAGAATAGTCTACCATGATTTGAACAAATGAAACCCAGGTTATAAAGCATCCTCTTCTCAGATCTAGAAATCCCTGCTTACTGCTCATATCACTTTAGTTGTGATGTTACTTTAAGACAGAAAGAGACAAATATCAGGAAACCTGAAGTTCAAAGCAGCTAAGTGACATGCTTGAAGCTCAAGGATGAAAAGGAGACAATACTAAAAGAGAACTGACAGATGAGAACCCTGAGCACTAGCCACATTGTGCCTCTCTTTGCTAAAAACCAATTTCCAAAGCCTTCCGTATGTGTTCCATGAAGGCGAGAACCCTGAGCACTAGCCACATTGCACCTCTTTCCTAAAAAGCTAAATTACAAACCCTCTCATATGTATTTAGTGGAAGCGTGAACCCTAACCACACTGTCTCTTTCCTAAAAACACTAAATTTTAAAAGCCTCTTAAGAATATTTTATGGAGGACAGTGCAATGACTGTGGCCTTTTATTTTCAGAGCAATATTGTTTTCCAGTTTCTTGCAATGCATGACAAGTCACACATTTGCCAACAGTATTTGAGAACGCAACCCCACAAATAAATGTATGCTAATCTCCTCCGACTGCACAGAAGCCCCTTGAAGGAAAGGAATTTGTCTTTTTGGTTCACCGTTGTATTCTCAGGATTAGAGTAGTACCTGGCAACAGAATGTTAATGTATTTTTCCTCAATTCATTTACATATTTATTCAGAGACCAAGAGATCATCTATACATTAAAAAATAAGCCACTGGTAAAGGGAAAGTGACCAGCACTCAGAAGTATTTTCTGAAGTTACTTGTCTTTCACTTCATATCTATCTCTATAGAAATACTAGATACGGCCAGGTGTGGTGGCTCACACTTGTAATCCCAGCACTTTGGGAGGCTGAGGCAGGCGGATAACCTGAGGTCAGGAGCTTGAGACCAGCCTGACCAACATGGAGAAACCCCATTTCTACTAAAAATACAAAATTAGCCAAGTGTGGCGGTGCGGGCCTGTAGTCCCAGCTACTTGGGAGGCTGGGGCAGGAGAATCACTTGAGCCCAGGAGGCAGAGGTTGCAGTGAGCCGAGATTGCCCCGCTGAACTCCAGCCTAGGCAACAAGAGCAAAACTCTATCTCAAAAAAAAAAGAAAAGAAATACCTAGATATATGAAAGATGCTTAAGTAAGTATTAACACAGTCTTTAAGACACAAAAGGAGTATATTTTCAATTCTTGTAGTCAAGAAAACAATCACCGGAGTGTTTCTTAAAACATGGATTCACTTCAGAAATATGCACTGTTTTATAAATTGAAATCAGAATTGGAAAATATTCTAACGTACAAATTATGACCCTCAAGTCCTGTAAGTTAAAAGGGCTCTGGGGAAGACACCCCTTGACACTTACGTGCCGCAGCCCCTGGCGCTGAGGGCACTGCATCCGGCTGCTGCTGGCCTGAGGCTGAGCGGTCTGTACGTGAGGCCGGAACTGTGGCTGAGACATAGGCATCAAAGGAGGGGGCGGGACGGACAGGTGGTGGTGGTGGTGGTGCTGGTGCTGCGGCGGGTGCTGTGGTGGGTGCTGGGGCGGGGGCTGGTGCTGGGGTGGGGGCTGGTGCGGAGGCTGGTGCTGCGGCGGGGGCTGTTGCTGCGGCTGCTGAGGCTGAGGCTGATGTGGAGGGGGCAATGGAGGATGCAGCGGCCCCTTCCATTTCCAAAGAAAGAGAAACAGTAGTTCATAAATGGTTACACCGGGCATATACACTTCAATTTATCCTTAAAAACCTCAACACAGGAAAGGAACTTTCAGTGGTTCCGAAACTTTTAGACTTGCCGATGAAGGTAATACTATCTTAAATGCAGTAATAAGCCAGAAGCTATTACCTTAAATTTTATATTTAATCCAATAATTCTAGAATTAAGTTGTCCTAAGGAATAAGTATGCAGACAGACTCCTAACCCTGAACAGCACCATGCTGCTAAAGTGCAGAAACCAATACACACACGTGGCAACGCAGGCGGCATGGACTACCGTGCGCAGCACTCGCTGTTCTTAAACGGTGTAATAAAAACCAATCCACCGACATGAAAAGGTCAAATGGTATGTTACACTGGAGGGAAAAAAGCAGGTGGTGAGATGTGCATTTTAAAAAAAGACCAAAAAAATGCTTCTGAATTTTTCTAGGTAACGAGATTATTCAATTTCCTTTATTATACCTGTCTATATTCTAAGATTTCTGCAATGGGGATGTATTGGTTGTATTTTTCTAATAAAAAGAAAATTCTTATAAATATTTTCTCTTTAACACCCTAGATAATATTCATTTTCCTTTTCTAGCTGAGATACGCATTCCATGTGTTTTTAAATAGTTAATTCATGTAGACCATTGGTATGTATTCTAACAGTAACCCTACAATACAAGAAGAAATACATTGGGTAAGAAAGACGTTACGGACACATGTCAACCCATGAAGCATACATCTATCGACAGAGGGCACTCAAGTCCTTCAAATAATCAGTGAACAGCAACATTTTTTTCCCTCCATGCCAAGACTCTTTTCAAAAACCCTTTAAAAAATCCTAATAGCATGTTTCAATTCCCAAAAATGACATTTTCCCATTTTTTTCTTCTATTAAGGGGATAAGCAATATTGTCCAAAAAAAGTTGTCTTTAATAAACAATACATTTAAGACTAACACTCTTGTTCTTTAAATAACCACAAATTAGTAGGCTCGGATAAGAATGTAAAACTTTCTGAAACACAAAGACTCAAGCTGCACACACTGACCCTGGAGGCTGGCTCAGGAAGCGTACCTGCAGGCTGGGCTGTGCGTGTGTGGGCAGGAACGGCTGTCCTGGGCCTGGCAGGAACGGCTGTCTAGGAGGGATGAAGGGCCGTGTGGTTGCCGACCCAGGCTGGCTGAAGTGTAGAATCCCCACAGGACCTGGAGGCTGCAGGGCTGGTCTTACCGGCCGCTCTCTCGGGAACACTGGCTGCTGTCCTTGCTGGTTAAATGCTGGTCCTGGCTGAGTGAATGGTAGAGGACTCTGAGTAGGAACGGGATGGCTACTGTTAAGAAGGGTAGGAGGCGGTGGTGGTGGAGGGGGACTTCGCTGTTCCAGGAAAAGATGACTTGGGAATCTTGGTTCACCTGAAACTGAAAGGTAACACAACATCATTAACTTCAGGCTAAAAAGACCAGGTCCTTCTCAGAAAAGCAGTCTGAAGCACTATCCTACCACTGTGGACAAAAATCACAAGTATTTGGCAGGTTATGAATGTTTAGAAACAATTCCAGATTTTGCCTCTTATTTCTAGATTGCTTCATTTGTCATTCTGTATACATAAATTCCTCCTTTATATGAGATATTCCCATTTCGGATACAACAATGTCCAATTTTAGCATCTGAAATGATAGGCAGACCTGCTATGGTACAAACACCTGACATTCCTAATAACATCTCCCACTGGGAGTTAAATTCAGGTTACAACATCAATGTGTTTGGGCACATCACCCAGTGCAGCTTCTGATACGTCGCTCCACACCACTGACGCTTTCTGTACCTCCTAAGAAGAAAGGGTCTCGCTCCTGAGGTGGGGGTGGGGCTCTCCACTGGTCCTGGAGAGGGAGTCGTGGGGGCTGGCTGAAACTGTTGGGAACAGGTCCAGGTGTGTGCTGTGGAAATTCTGGAGGGCCCTAAAGAACAACCAAAAAAAAACAGGGTGAAAGACAGAAAAATGTTATGTAATTTTCAGAAATATAGAACTGGTTCCAAATTTTCCTCTGAAAATGTTAGTAACGTGTCTCTTACAGTCATTGTCGTTCTCTTCACACACAGTTACGCATCCTTAATGACGGGGATACATTCTGACATGCATCTTAGGTAAACTCCATCGTGCTAACACCGTAGAGTGTATTGAAATCACACACACACCTAGAAGGTAGTGCTTTCTACACACCTAGCCTGTATAGCACACTCGAGTAGCTCCGAAGCTACACACCAGGGCAGAATGTTAGTGTACTGAACACTGAAGGCAACTGTCTCACAACGTAAACATATCCAACCCTAGAAAAGGTCCCAATAAAATGCAGTCTCATAATCTCATGGAAACACTGCTGAATATGCAGTACACCACACCAGAACATCCTTACACAGCACATGACTGCACATGTTAACATGGAAACTAAGTATTATATAATAGGTGATTCTGCCATATTAAATGATCAAAAATCAAAATGCAGCAACTGGAAATTATGTCAATGTTTTAATGTCATTATAACCTAAGAATATTATTTTTAAGCTTATTGAAATCCATGCGATTAGTGGCCTCTTTCCTGTTAATCCAAAACACTAAATGTCATGATGTGTTTCTTTCCAAAGATGCTAGTCTTTTGCTGACTATTTAACGCAGCCATCAGCTACAGCTCTGAAGCTACTTCACTTTAAAAGGAAAAAAACTTCAATCAGCAATGACTGACTTAACAGAAAAATGTGAACTGTTTAAGAAACCAAATTACTACAACAAAATAATAAAAGGAGTCCTTTGGATAAAAATTTTAAGCAAATTCTTACAGATTAACATTTTTCAAAACTACATGTTACTATAACTCTTTTGAGACAATTTAAAATTACTTCATTCTTCAGTTGGCCTTTCAAGTATTCATGGAGATTTTTTTAAACCACTATATTGATCTGAGCAGCGGCATAAAGGTAAAGAAATGCTCACCACTTTTTCACTGCTCCAAAAAGAAGTGATTAACTATTAACTATCATCAAATAATTTTCATTTAATACCACTGTGTTCTTTGAAACCAAGTCAGTATTCCTCAACTTTTAAGTATCACTCTTCTTTCTCACAAACTTACAATCCCAGTGCCTTGGTCTATATCTCCTTCTATTACTAATTGGCTGTTCCCTCTAAACACTGAAAATGCTCTTCCAAACTGCATTTCCCTGGCTTCTCCCTGTAAAAGTCTGTTCTACCCAGGACATTGAGAGAACAGACAAAACAAACACAAGTATATATATCAGAAACATTTAAGATTGTTGACTACAAAATGATAAAGAAATGTTTAACATGCAAATATTACATCTTAACAAAAACATAAACATTAGGCACTTATTGAAACATGCAGAACAGAAAGTACAAAGATGAAAATCTTGTAGCTTTTGTTTATTGCTTTAGGTGAAACAAGGAAATCCACATCATGCTACTGTCTGACATTATGGAGCAGCTCTTCTCTAGATAAAGACATCAATTAAGACACAATGAAACTAATAAATGTTAGTAACTAAGGAATATAAGCGAGAATACATATTACAGACAGTCTTTTACTCCTAATAAATGTGTATACTTTATCATAATGGTAATTTGAAAATTCACTGATATGATGCTTTCATATGGATTTTTTTTTTTTTTTTTTTTTTTTTTTTTTTGAGAGACAGGGTCTCATTCTGTTACCCAGGCTGGAGTGCAGTGGCACAATCACAGCTTCTTGCAGCCTCAAAACTCCTGGGCTCAAAGGATCCTTCTACCTCAGCCTCCTGAGTAGCTAGGACTTACAGCACATGCCACCACATCCAGCTAAATTTTTGTAGAGGTAGGGTCTTGCTGTGTTGCCCAGGTTGGTCTCGAACACTTGGGCTCAAATAATTCTTCCACCTCAGTCCCCTAAAGTACTTGGATTACAGGCATGAGCCACCACACGTGGCCAATATTCCTGAATATTTAATATCTTTACTTTGCTAATAATATGATAGAAAAATTACTTCTAATAGCACAGGCCATTACAGATCGTTACTTCCTAAATCTGCATGAGGAGTTTCGATGAGCTTGCCTGCTTCCTCCCACTGCAAAGTTTTCTCCTGTTTTCAAGATATTTTCATTTTTTTGTTTGAAGTCAGTGAAACAGATGGTGTGAATATGAATGTGTCTCCTCCAAAATATGATATTCCTCTAAGTAATTAAATGTTCTACTTATAAAGTGTAGCATTAGTACTGTCTTTGGTTTTGCATATCCACATTACTCTGACATACACGGACAGTTCCTGGCTTATAAAGTCCAACTTACGATGTCTGCAACTCACAGCGGCCTCATCCTAATGCAACCCCATCGTAAGCTGCAGAGCAGCTATGTGAGCATTTCAAAATGTATTTTAAAATAATCTTCAAAACCTTCTGAATGACAATAAATTAGCAATCACGGTTCTGCATTATTTCAAAAAAAAAAATGTTTAAATGATGCTTCTTGGAATGACACGGAATAAAACAACCGCCTGCCTCTGCTTGCAGAGAGCTCTGACTGATCACATCGTTTTCAACCCATGCAAACTGGCAGTGGTGGTCCTGAATAAAAATCCTTTCCCAGTTAATCAGCCTGTTCCCTGAAGCTGTTTCAATGCACACTTGACTACACTTCTTTTGGGGGAGGAAGCACAGGGGAGGGGTTTCAGATAAATACAAAAGGAACCAGTAAGATTCATTAAAACAATTTGCATTGAGAAATGTAAAACATGGATCAAAATGATGTCAATGAGACACCAATATCACAGCCTGAAACAAGCTAGCAGCTGTGAAGGATCAAAATCACTCAAATGTAAACTCTTCAAATGAAAAATGAGTATTTTATGACATTTTAGCTTATAAATAAGAAATTAATAACACCTCTGGAAACTATGAAAAACCATTTCCAACTGTTAAGTGTGGTTATAAACGATAGCTCTCTTCACACAATTGAGTCAAGGTCAGCTACAAGCAGGTTTGATGTTGGTTTGCCCAACCACCTAGATAAGAGTTTGGATGGGGCTGATTTCAATGCAACAGAGGGAGGAGGTTTTTAACACTCTCCCAGCAATAAACACATCCTCAATTCACAGAAGCACTCACTCAGGAGGAGGAGCAGCACCTGGGCGGGGAGCTCAAAGTAACCTGGACTGAAGAACCCTCAGGGTCCAAGCCAACTCACAAAGAGTGGGTTTGTCAATGTTCTTGAAATTATAGACAAGTTAAAAGACAAACTGGTAAATCTGGCTGGCACTAATACAGCCAGGCACGCACTGGGCGTGAGGTGACAGCAGGACTGGGTCAGGGAGAAGGAGCCCTGAGGAACAGCTGGGATGAGGTGTGGGCCACTGTCTTCAGAGTATGGGACTTGGGAGGTGCTCACAAAGAGGCTGACTGAATTAAATGTCCATTGTCTTACTTTTCTGGTAGGTCTTGTAGCCAGATTAGGAGACCTGAGAATAAAGTCTCAGCAGGGGTTAGAGTTGGGAAAGTGAGTTCTATACCAAGGCTCAGCTTCTAGGTGACAAAGAGGAAGGTACTAGCAATGAGAATGGCCATTCTTTCTCCTTACCAGGACTCACAGCCTTTTCTAGCTGAGCAAACGCTCCTACGTACTCCCTACCCTACAGTGAATGTCAACTGCAGGGATTCTTGCAGAACTTAACCGTGGTAAACTCAACACGGGCCAGTCAGGAACCAACGCTTTGCAAGCAGCCCCTTCAGAATGAAGACCAAAGGGAACTCAGGCCCCTGGTCCACTGGCAGAGTGCAGGAATTCCTGGGTATGACACTGTCACCACTGTCGATACTAGGCCCCCATGACCTCATCAACACACAGTCAGGAAGCTAAACTCAGGACATGAAATCACCAGTCCAAGGTTACAGAACGATTTTAGCGTTTATGTGTTTCTGTAAGTTCACTCAACCACACCAGGGATTTCCGCATTCAAGAAAGCCAAGCGGAAGCTCCTGCAAGGGTTCGTTTTATTCATGACGTCATAAAAATGAAGTATAATAGAAATCTCATCAAAATCACTAAATTTGGGTTACACCTTTCCCCTAACTTAGATATAAAAATGGTAGTATACACCCCACTCAAAATGTGAATCCTGGACACCTCATCACATTACAAACTGAATCTCTAGCTCCAGTATTTCCTTGAAAAATGTTCACTCTTACATTTCTGCCTCAGCCAAAATGCACAATCACTACAGAAAACGGCTTCTCTTGCAACCCTCAGTACAGGACCTTATTTCCTCCCATCCCTGCTTCGCTCTCTGGCCACCTCCCTGTATCTATCAGGAGACTCTTGACATAGGGCCCAGACAAACCCAAGCCTCCAACTCCTCTACTCCTACAGCCGGGCTCATGAGGGCTGGGACATGAAAAATCTCAGGAATTGGAATCACTAAAAGCTTTTATTTTCTTTTAACTGGCCCATCAAGGTCAACTGGCAGTTTGTCACTCATCCCTGGGCAGCTCCTCCTCTTACTATCCAGGATAATTTCACACCTCTGAGCACCTTCTAGTGATTCCACGGCACAGCTGTCCCCTCCGCCTGCAAGGCCCTGGGCATCCTCGACGCACTTCTTCCCACCCTTCTCTGCTTCCACTTGCATCGAAAGATCACTTTCTACCGTGAGAAAGTGTACTCGCTGCTAATTTTTAGCAACAGTCTATTTGTTAATAATATATATAAATTCTCACTCTATTGTACATTTGGTCAGATTTTTCACTTAAAAGATAGGAACAGTATGCTGACGTAGAAGAGAGGGTGAAGGCTGGCTACCAACGTGCTGACAAGCCCTCAGCCCTAATCACAGCCAGCACACTTCCAGGCTCCTAACTCATTAGCTCTATCAGTCACTGCTATGCTAATGAGCTGGCAAAAAGGCAGATAGCGGGAGGTGC